ACAGTTCGTTGTCGCTGGCGTGCACACAATGCATAGCACGCCGTCTCCGCACCAGCTATGTAGAAGGGAACGGCACCTACTGCTGCACGTCGTCGTCACCGTTACCGACGTCGGCCAGGCGCACTTGGCCGATTGCGACGGAGCACCGGTTGAAGGCCGGATAGTGCAGTGCCTTCGTCAGGAAGTCGGCCGACTGCTTGATGGTTGGGATGTACATCAGCATGAATTATCCGCATTTCACCATCTGCTGCAGCTAGCCATATCGTCGCTCCATGTGCTTGAGGTTGCCCTGCAGCCCCAAGCCCTCAACGACCATGATGGCCGACTTGTTGTCCACCCGAAGGACAGTCGGCGTCCCAGAGTCCAGCAGCTAGAACTTTGCAAGGAGGAAGCGAAGTCGGCGTCCCTCCTTGCCAGCATAGCCTGGTAGCCGCCACATACTCCGACTCAGTCGACAACGACGTCACGCATTTGATGTGCTGGCTCGACCAACATACAGCGGCACCTCCGTAGACGAACACTTAGCCGCCCGTGCTTGTCCGGTTTCGCTTGTCGCCAGCGTCGCCAGCGTCTACGTAGCTGACCAACTTTAGCGACTCTGGTCTACTGCTGAACTCCAAGGCGGTGTCACGCGTGTCGGCAAGGTAGGCGAGGCAGCTGTCGACCTCACGCCAGTGCTGGTCGCTCCTCACCGTGAGGCCGCTCCTCAGCTTACTACAGGCAAAGGGGATGTCCGGCCTCGTCGTCGTCGCCGCGAACTGCAGCTAGCTGACTTTCTGCCTACTCCTCATCCTCGCGAGGCTGAGCCTCCTCGTCGTTGAGCGACAGCTCGGCGTAGGCGTCGACGGAGACCGGCGTCTTCGGGATTCCACCGTCCTGCTCCTCGTCGATGAGGCGCCTGCGCAGCTTATCGGCGTAGCTCTGCTGGTGCAGCCACAGCTTCCTTGCCACTCTGTCACGCACAATCTCTAGCCAGAGGAACTTCACGACCGGCGAGATCGCGCGCAGCTCGAAGGCGGCCTCCAGCAGCTCCTTGAGTTTCTTCAGCATCGCAGTGCTGCTACTAGCGGCGAGCAGGTCGTCGATGTAGACCAGCACCCAGCAGGTCACTCCGTCATCGCCGACCTTAAAGTAGAGTGCCTCGTCGACGTGGCTCTTCTTCGAGCCGGCGCCCAGCAGTACGCCGTCAAGAGCCCTGTAGCACAACAGCAATAACTACTTCAGTCCGTAGAGGCTCTTCAGCAGCTTGCACACCCGGCCGGTCCCGTCGTTGTAGTAGTCCGGCTGGTACACGTACACCACCCGGACGAGCTTGCTTTGCAAGAAGGCGTTCTTCATGTTGAGCTGCATCAGGTTGAGGTCGAGGACGACAACGATGTTGAGGAAGATCTTCAGCGCCACATAGCTCCCGATCTGCGCGTACGTCTCGTCGTCGCCGACGCCGTACACCTGCGTGAAGCCCTTCATGACCAGCCTCGCCTTCTCGCGCTCGATGGTGTCGTCGATGTGGTACTTCGTCATCAGCACCCACCGGTTCTTCATGATGTTCACCCCAGGTGGGTGGCCGCTCGACCAGCATCCACGTACCGTTGGCAATGAGGTAGCAGATCTCCTTGTCCATGGCGGCCTTGACCGCCTTGCCCTTCCAGCTCGCCAACGCCTCCTTCACCGTCATGGTCGAGATGTCCCAGCGGTGCTCGGGGTCGGCGTGCATGTCAGGGTCGAGCAAGGCAGGTCAACGTCGGTATCCACATCGTCGTACAGGGTGGTGAACGCGGCCGGTGGCAGGCACACATTGTAGGTCAGCCGCTACGGCGGCCTCCGAAGTCGACTTGAATGTCGTAGTTCAGGCTGGTCGACCTCGACTTCCACCACGTTGCTATCAGTGGACTCCTCCCCTGCCGACAGCTCCCCTTCATCGCCGCCGTCTTTGCTGTCCTCGTCGGACTACTGCATCGATGTCGGCGTTGCCGAGTTTTCCCCTGTCGTCGGCTCCCCCTGCCAACCATTGGGTCGCCGACAGTTCCCCTGCCGGCTTCACTGCCCGCTCCTCCCCTGAAGCGGACTTCTCCTTTGTCGGCGTCGACTTCACCGAGTACCGCTCCCTTGTCTTCATTAGCCCCGCTTCCATGCCAACTTGCGTAACGTCACGTCGGCCGCCGGCGATGCCACTGGCCGGCGCCATAGTCGACGCCCCACTGCTGCGCTCATCGCCGGAGGCCGACACCGGAATCGGCTGCTGCACGTCGGCAACGAGGGGTGGGGCATCGGGACCAGGGGGAAGAGAAGGAACAAAAACTGCACCATGCAGCCCCACACGCGCGCCATCGTCAAGTCGGGCTTCTGGCCGATCAGCAGCTGGTGCGGCGTCGTCCCTTGCGGCAACACCGACCGCTTAAGGCAGTTGCGCACCCAGATGGCCTGCCGCAGGGCGAGATGCCACCAGTGGTGCTGCACTCCTATATGCAGCAGCATCGTCCGCACCGAGTCGACCACCGTTCTGCCATGCCATTCTGCCGCGGAGTGTATGGGCAGGTAAGGCCGTGGACGATGCCTTTGCCATCAACGAAGGCGGTGAACTCCTTACCGAGGAACTCCCCTCCGCGGTCTGAGCGGAGCATCAGCACCGACTTTTTTGTCTGCTACTGCACCAGCCACTTCTCCAACTCCCGCAGCACGTCCGACGTCTTGGCGACTGGCCTCACCCACACGAAGCGGGTCTTGCGGTCCTTCAGCAGCAGGAAGTAGAGGTTCCTATCCTTGGTGGCCACCCGGAACGGCCCGCACAAGTCCATGTGCACAACGGCCAGGGCCTCGGCGGCGTCCGAGCCCTTGTCGGGGAACATATGCCGCGCCAACTTCCCGCCAACGTAGGAGACACACAGCAAGTCGGCCCCGGTCGACTGCCTGAGGTCCAGGCCGATGGCGACTTCGTGCTTGGCCGAGCTCGTGATGGTGTCGATGCTGACGTGGGCGAGCCTTGCATGCCACCCGTCCGGCGTCGACTTCGTCGCCGAGACAATCGTCCGCAGAGCCACCACCTTAGTTGGCGCCAACGTCGACTTCATCGAGCTCGCCAAGGAGGGCTGAAGGTCGGTGTAGAGGACTCGGCCGGTGTACTTCGGCCGGCCAAGCACGTTCCGTGCCGCCGCAACGAGCAGCATCTTGTCACTATCGTCCTGGAGCCGCACACCCATGTCCTTTAGCTGACCAGCCAGCCAACAGCAGGTTCGCCTGCACGCCTGGGACGTAGAGCACGTCGAGGATGAGGATTTGCCTCGCAGCCTCCCCTTGCAGAGCAACGGTGTTGCGGCCCTGGACGTCTTGCGGCACCCCATTGAAGCCGTGCACGTGCTTGACGAGGCCGCTCGACCCCGAGTCGACGAAGGCCTCCTTCGTCCCCATCAGGTGGTGCGAGCAGCCGCTGTTGAGCATAACCACCGCCTGGTTCGCCTGTACAGCGACCGCCACCACCTTGAAGTCTTCGCCGGCCTCCAGAGCCAGCGAGACGGTCGGCTCCACGACGCCGACCAGCGAGCCCAATGCATCCTCGTCGCCTCGCCCCTTGCCGCCAGGGGAGGAGTTGGCGTCCTTCGCCGACGTTGTCGACTTGGTCAACTGCTTCTCCTTACTTGGCTTGCTTTCCCGACATGGACAACGACCGTCGACCTCCCGAGCATCACCAATATCCGCCGCATGAGGTTGTAGCCGCTCGGAAGTCCCTTCACACGCGTGCGTGATGTATGACGCCGTCGAGTAGTCGACGCCGGCCATCCGCATGTTGGCCATAAGCCGCCGAGCCCGGTTGCAGTAGTCGGTCGCCGTCTCCTGCTCGCCCATCCGCAGGTGCATCATCTGTTCTTCCAGCTGGCCGATGTACAGGTCGTCGGTGACTTGGTACCTCGACGTGATGAACCGCCATGCCTGGTGGCCGACGTCCAGAGGTTTCTTTGCGTTTGCTCGTGTTCTCTCTACTCATACATTCACTGGGAGAATTGGCTAGAGTTTCACTAGCAAAGATTCACAATAATGGTTCTGGATAGAATCAACAAAGTTGGAAAGGCTGACTACATCAGATGCATGTCTGCCTAGCATGCAAGCAGGTCGACTTCCAGCGCAGCAAGGTCAACCGCGCTCCAGCACTGCAAAGTCTGCACCGCTCCAGCGCTGCAGAAAGGCGGCTTGCCAACGTTGCAAGTCGACGGCGTGCCAACGCTGCAGCAAGGCGGCTGCACAGCGTCGCATCCGCATGACAGCAGCGCACCTACTACGCAGGTGCTCGCGGTTGATTGGCGTGCTCTGTCTCGTCGCGTGCACAGAGCAGACTCCAAGTCGACCACGTGCCGTTGGCTGTGTCTAATGAACCACGTCGATCTCGGAATACCACTTCCAGGCGACCTTGTTGCCAGAACCACCTAGGCGACTGTCGCACACATCGCAAAACCTTGTTGCCCTGGTTACTTGGTCGACAAAGGTACTCGCAAGTCGACATCGACTTGCGCGGCCAACTGCATCCAATTGTTGTACGTGCTCGTCGACCACCCAAGTCGACGACCACCGGCCGACTTCACCAAGTCGGCCACTCCACAAGTCGACAAATGCCTCGTCGACCACACCAGTTGTCCGCCTTCTTCATTAAGTCGGCTTCCCCAAGTCGGCGCCCACAGGTCGGCGTCTTTCCAGGTCGATAAGTCCCCCTCGTCGACCACCCTGTCAAAATCAACCGCCGGCTTCCCAACGTCGACGGCTTCGCAGTGGCCCCGTGCAGGTCGACCAAGCTAGCCCGCCGACCTGCTCACTAAGTCAGCGTCGCCCACTACAGACTGTCTGTTGGACTTCTCGTACACCCAACCATGAAGTCGGCTCCACCCATGCGAGGACGGGGCCAACATCCAACTCCCGTTGACAGAGTAGTGCATCCCCTCCAACTTATCTGGTAGGCTCAGTGACCTGATCATGTGACAATTGACTCACTCTTTCGAGGCCTGAATGACCTAAACATGGACGCCCCTAATGATGCTGTGCTGCACCACTCTTTGCCGCTGTTCAACCCATCCCCACCCACCTTGTTCACCCTATGTCTAGCCACCTTGCCGAGGTGGAGGAGTGCCTTTTCTCCAAACATCAGCATCTGCATGTGCACAATTTGTGCCACTAACCCTCACTCACATCGCTGTGTTGCGTGCAGGTGGAGGAATGCATCTCCTCCAAGAAAACCGACCTCCCTGAAGAACCCGAGCATGGACGCGCTGGATGATGTTGCGTTGCGTCTGGCCCAGCTGGCTCTCTCCTGCACCGTCGAGCGCACTGCAAGCCAGTCCAGCATGGCAAACATTGCCAACAAGCTGCAGGGAATCAGGCACGAGGTGGTAGCGAAGGAGGAGCTCAGTGCAGCGATCAAGGTGGACGAGGAAGCAACAGAGATGGGAATTGGGATGTCTTTTGAGGTAACTTGAATGCCGACATGGAAGCCATTGAGATGATGGAAGAAGATAACAATGGGGAGTCGACAACCAAGTCAATTATGTGAATTCTATTATACCGTAGCTTCAAGCTGGTAAGAGCATGATCAAGAATCAGGTTATATACAGCTCATAGAGCCTGATAGCTGCAAGTAAAGCATCAGTCTAAGTGCTAGTTGGTTGCACATGATGATAACATTGATGTGATTAACGACAGTGCGTAAGAAAACCTTATTTCAGTGTTGTATTTTTTAGTCATCGCATAAACACTGAACCGGAAATATGCAGACAGGATTCGCTCGATGCTAAAAAAAATTTGTCTATGCATAAGGGATGCATTTTTTATTGTTGGAACCGCAAGAGATCACAATTCCTTACTGTGGCTTTCGGGCGGGTCCAGTACGTACGTTTCCAGCTGTTGTATAGTTCATCATCTTGCGCCACGGTGCAAAACGGTAGAAACTAAGAATCGCGGTGCACTGTTTGGTATTGTTCAAAACCACGACGGATGAACTGTATGTAAATGTACGCGCTGGACCCGCCCTTATTTTGTGGTAGTTGTACATGTATTCCATGGTCTCATCTCTCAAACCAAAGGTTCGGCCAATATTTCACACTTACCTTGCCACCTCACCTTTCGTCACCCATATGAGCCTGACTTGCCCAGAGGTCATCGCATAGCTAGATGCCACATACAGTATCTACCCTTGTTCTGAAATCTCATAGGCCAATCAAAGTTAATATCAATGTAAAACGTCGGCACTCATATGTTCAGTAAATCTTGCAACGTAGAACCGTATGGCGATATTGACAAACAACTGTTACACTTTGTACCGCTACTTCTGTTGTTTGAATACGGGGCTTGTAACGCGCCACCACCCGTTCATCCGTACATCCTTGTTGAAAATGTAAACCGCTGCCACCAACCACTTACCACCTTTGTCGAGTTCTTACCCACTCCCACTGGTCCTTACTCTTGCCCGCATGGGAACCTGGATGACAGTAGCTACGATAACCCTAACTCAGTAGTCGAATTAGTGAATCGATTCGAATAGTTGTTAGTTTTCTTGTGACCGTGACGGCTTTGCCGCGACCATCAGGGAATGGAACCCACAGCAACCCTTCTGCTCTGGACACTGCTTCTGCTGACGTGGCACGGAGTCTCACGAGTCGAGAGCGCGCCTTTCGCCAAGTCCCAGGGTGCGTGCCGCCACGTAAAATTTTGACCCCGGTATTAAATCCATCGCCCTTTTTTTGTAGAGTTGCGGGTAGCATGCACGAGGGCATCTGGTGAGAGAGAGGCAGAGAGAGAGAGAGAGAGAGAGAGAGAGAGAGAGAGAGAGAGAGAGAGAGAGAGAGAGAGAGAGAGAGAGAGAGAGAGAGAGAGAGAGAGAGAGAGAGAGAGAGAGAGGAGAGAGAGAGAGAGAGAGAGAGAGAGAGAGAGAGAGAGAGAGAGAGAGAGAGAGGAG